TTCTATGCTTCAAGTGTGCTATGCCTCGTACTGATTGACTCCAGCTACTCCGTTACGCGGGCGTTGTTGACAATACTCCCAATGTAGTATAGCGAGTAATCTATCTAGTATAGCGAGTAATCTATCTAGTATAGCGAGTAATCTATCTAGTATAGTACTGTAATCTTACGTCTTCTACCAGGGAAGCCCCGGCCTCCGGATCAACCAAACTTCCTCACCGCCTGCATCTTATCATCCCCCCCATTGTTCCATGCATTATCTCATCGTCGTTCACTGAACTTGGTTATCTCAACATATCATAAGATCCCCCCTTAATATTGTTTCAGTCAGGGGAAGCTAGTTGAGACCTCAAAAACAAAAAACACACCGAAGCAAGCAACCATGTCAACTTCTACATCTATGTTTGGTTCTTATCGTGCTTGACCCGGCATGGCAGTACGACTGATCCGGGGACAATGGCCCTCAAGCGTCAAGAGTACATCCTGCTGGCCATCGGTGCTTTCATAGCTTGGGGATTGGTCACCCAGTGGCTGCCTGTGCTCAGATACCTGGCTCATGCACTGGTCCTAGGCGTCTTTCTCACATCAATCACACTACTTTTTCTTATTTGTCTTACTACGCGACCTACAGCTGATGCAGCGTCCCCCGCCCTGAACAAGCGCCCCGTCGCCTTCCTCACCCGCCGCCATTGGGACCAAGAAGCGCGAGGTGTCCAGAACCGTGCAATCTACAAACCCGACTCGCTCTACCCTCGCTCATTTGTGGTCTCAGAGGGCATTGATGAAGTTCTGAGTCTAGTCACGCGCGATTTTGTCGCATCATGGTATCAACATATCAGCCCGAACCCCGCATTCGTGAACGAGATCGACCGAGTAATCCGAACCGCCATTGACAACCTGCGCGATAGATTGCTAGCAGAGGATTTAGTCTCGCTTCTCGTCTCTCGCATATTCCCCATACTCACAACCCACCTGAAGGAGTTTGATGTTGCGGAGCGGTTGGTGCGGGGAAGAAATCTTACTCGGAATGTCACCGAGTCGGACGAGCTGGATCTGGCCATAGCGAGCAAGTATCGGGAGGGCAACATACATCCAGCAGCTAGAGTTTCCTTGTCTGACCAGAAGCTCGTCGAGCAAGAATACCTCCGCAAAATCACCGTTGGGTTGTTGCCAAAACTGTTTCCGGCCTCGGTACTCAATAGCCGCATTGTGTCCGTCATAGTCCGCGAAATCCTCGCATGCGCCGTACTGTATCCTATAATTGCGGCCCTTTCAGACCCAGACACGTGGAATCAGTTGGTGGAGGCTTACGGGCGCACTGCCATACAGGACCGAAAGACGGTCCGAAAGCTGCGGGCGGCACTAGATGAGCACGCCTCACCAGCACCAAGATCGAAGCGCGGAAGCCAATTTCCACGTCTAGGTCCTCATGATTCAGAAAGAGCCTTTGAGCGACTGGTGCGAGTGATCCGGCGCTGTGACAACATCTCCGATGCTAGACGGTTCAGAGCTCTCATTGTAAGCCAGCTGAAGCGAGAATCTATGGTTGAAGGACAAGATGCGACCTACTTACAAAGGCTGGAAACGGCTAAGAGGGTTCTGGATCAAAAAGTAACTAAGCTTTCCACGCCTGCAGGGAGCCGTGCGTCGCACGCCTCGGCGGCAGCATCCCACTTCCGGCGCAAGAACTCCGCATCCCGTGAGGCATCGTTGGTCGACGTGATGCACGATGCCTCAGGACTTTCTTATTTCATGGAGTTTATGGACCGGCAGAAGCTGATGTCCCTGGTGCAGTTCTGGATCGTTGTTGATGGGTTCCGCAATCCGCTGGAAGATGATTTCGGAGACGAGGACTCTCCAACCTCAACATCGTGGACGCTCACAGACCAGAATGATATGGCATTGATCAGCCAGCGTTACCTGAACAAACCTGAGTTGAAAGTGCCGGAAGAATCCCGTCGAGCAGTGAAAGCGTTCCTAAACGCAGGCAAGCGAGCCACTGCGGACCAGTACCGTAAAGCACGGACTGTAATTCTGACGACTCAGTCTGCGGTACTCGAGGAGCTCCAGAGCACTTATTATCCCAAATTTAAGAGGTCCGATCTCTACTACAAATACCTTGCGTCAGATGAAGTTTCACAGTCTGCGTCTCATGTGCCTCCCCAATCCCCCAGCACCGCCGACCTTCCCGAGAGACGACCGCTTCCTCCGCTGATGACCCGTACCTCCTCACAACCAAGTGCCAAACCCAAAGATCTGAGACGTGCAGCTGTGTCATCAAGCGATGTACGAAGTATGGGCAAGAAGCTCGATGACGATGACTCCTCAAGACGTTCATTTGATTCTGAAAGGTCGGCTCCCCTGTTTGATGACGACTACGACACCGATCCTCTTGCCATGTCGACCCAGAGTCTTGGACAGGACTCGCAGAATGGCGACAATGAAGCGAATCAGAATCAGGTGATCGAGACGATGGAAGCTGCCTTGAATGATATTATCACAAATCAGCCCGGAAATAGTAGACTGGAAGATCTGAAGAGCGGAGAGTCATCTCCAACGCGCCTTTCAGTCGGTGATCTGTTCCCGCGCTCTCCGCGCAGCTCGGCTGAGTATGCTCGCGCGGAGAATCGGCTAGATGAACGGGCCAAACCGAGCATTGCCTCGCTCGGACTCATCGATCGATCTTCGCGGCATGGCGTCTTTGACGATGATCTTTTCGCCGACCAGCAGAAGTTCATCGAAGATGAATATGAAGAACCTTTGGGATCCGACAAAGACCCGGCTGATGAGGTTCATGAGGCTGCTCCCGGAGACTTAGGGCTGACGGAAGCCATTGAGGCGCTCACAACCGAGATTGAGAAGCTGGGATCGCAAGAATCTGTCGTCAACACTCTCACTCGGAAAGCCGAGCTCACAAACAACACTGCAGAATTGAGGATTCTGCGCAAATCCAAGGCGAGCATCCAGCGTGAGATTCACCGGAAAGAGATGCAACGGCAACAGTACATCATTCAAGAGAGCGATAACAGCTTGTACGGCCGATCAACGGTCCGGATTAAATCCATCGTAGTAGGGAAGGAGGAGGACGGTCGAGAGTTCGCCATGTGTAAGTCCAAAACATGCGCTCCTTTCATCGATGTCAAGATATCGAACAAAAAAGCTGACCGACCCCAAGACGTCATCGAAGTGCAAAGAAATGCCGGAGAGCAAATGCCAGCGGCATCCTGGGCGGTTGCGCGTCGCTACAGCGAATTCCATGAACTTCACACCAAACTACGCATGAGATACCCGTCCGTGAGGCATCTGGACTTCCCACGCCGCCGGGTGGTTCTCAAGCTCCAGAAAGAATTCCTTCAGAAGAGACGGCTAGCCCTCGAACAATACCTGCAGAAACTGCTCCTCCTCCCTGAAGTCTGCCGCAGCCGAGACCTGCGAGCATTCCTGTCCCAGCGAGCAATCACGCAGCGCGACGAGACACAGAGCTCCCGTGACGGTGAGACTAAAGACCTGGTAACCCGGATCTACAATTCCGTCGCCGACGGCATGGACGACTTCCTCGGCAATTTTGGCGTGCTCGACCAACTATCCACGGCCGGACAGAACCTCATCTCTGCCGCCACCAACACCAATCCTAACGGCAACCTCACCACTTCAAACACAACCAGCACTGTGCCCCTCTCCCCCGAAGACGCCGTCACCGCCGCCGAGGCCGAAGCTGAACTCAACGCCTTCGAGGACCGCGACCTCGAGCCCTTCATCAAACCCATCTGCGACCTCTTCCTCGAGGCCTTCGAACTCAACAAGGGCAACAACTGGCTGCGCGGGCGCGCCGTCGTCGTCGTCCTCCACCAGCTCCTGGGTGGCACCATCGAGCGCAAGGTCCGCGACGGCGCCCGTTCCCTCGTGCAGGACGACTCCCTCCTCCGCTATTTGGCTTTGGCCAAGGACACGATGTGGCCCGGCGGGACCCTGCGCCAGAGCAAAGTCCGCACCCCACCCGAACGCCTCCGCAGCCGCACCGAGGCCAGCCTCGTCCTGGCGACCTTGATCCCCGACCTGGCGGGCAACGTCGTCGGGCGGGCCAACGCGCAAGCCGCGGCCCGGCGCATCTTCGCCACCTTGAACAACCCGCGATTGAATGCCCATCTGGTATTCACGATCTTAGACGAGATTGTGCTGGTGTTGTTTGGGGGTGGTGGGGGTCCGCTCGACAGCATCGGACGCGGACGTTAGACCCACTCACTCTCCATAACTTAATGTCTCCACCCTTAATGCATTGACGATGACCCGGACCGTGTTTGTTGTTGTATACTTATCACCCCCCCCCTACGCTGTCTTCCTGTTTCCCCTCCCCGGCCCCTCCTAATCATTTTGCCGCTCCATTGCATTTGAGTTTAGCGGGCGTTTTGCTTGATGCATTGTCGGGCTGTCTGAGGCCTGTCTCAACTTCACTGTCTATCTTCGTCTGGTTTCCGTTATCGCAAATAAGCATGTTTCTTTTCTTCCGTGGATGGTGATTCGCTGCCTGCATCTAATACTAATACCTGTTGTTCTCACAATGCATGGTTACAGGTGAGATGGAACAATCATTTCGTTCGTCCAGTGGAAGGTATCATAAGGTAAATACCACTCTGCATCGGTATGCATAACGACCGAGGAATGGAGAAGTAGGTGAATTGAAGGTAGTTGTGGGAGGGATCACCAAGTTGACGGAAGGTGGAGACTAGCAAGGGGACTAGCGCGTGACGCTACGGCACTAGCCTGGGTCTTAGCGATCGGGAGTACTACGTATCTACTTACTATACTTCGATTCTATGCCTATTTACGACTACGACTACGATTACACTACGGGAAACCATGTAGTGATTTGCTTGTGTCTTTCTCTTACAACAAATCTTGAAAGCGGCTGGTTCCGTCTGGTATGGCATTATGGTGAACCTGAAAAGTGTCCTTGTAGATGATGAAAATCTGTGGGTCGAAAGGAACTTGTACCACCGTCCATTTCGACGCCCAGCCAGTTCATTTGGGAAGTTAGTGAGGGTTCACTTTCCGCAGCCTGATAACACCACCCCGGTGGCCCCTTGAGAGCCGAGACAACGTCTTTGACGATCGAGAATAACGAAAGTGACACCGCAAGATGGAACAATCATAGAGAGAGAGAGAGAGAGAGAGAGGGAGAATCTGGAAACACGCGAAGATAGAGAGGGTCTCAAATTACAAAGGATTAGATAGCATCTCCGCCTTGCCCGGCCCCCTGGCCTAATTAACGATGCCTTTTTTGCCTTTTCTCCATGGATAGGGGGATAGTACACAAGAGGAAAGTCAATCGGACAACAGCGGGGGAGTTTAAGGTAGGAGGTCATGGTAGTTCGTTACGGGAGGGTAGAGGGTAGGGAGAAACGGCATCACGCATCAAGTCTGTTGGGCAGCTTCTCTATGCGTCCTCGTTCTTCTTCTTCTTGGACTTCTTGCTGCTGGGCTGGGCGGGGGGACCCTGCTTGGTCTGGTGGACAATGAGGCGTGTCCAGCACTCATCCTTGTCCCACTCGAAACCTTTAAGGTAGGGGTCGGTCAATACGTCGTCCGACTGCGGGTGGGTCAGCTGGGTGACACTGAAGAGTGGTTCAAGGGGGACCGACGTACCTGTTTCTTGAACTGCTTGTAGATGGCGTCCAGCGCATCCTTTATCGTGACGCCCTTCATGTTGCGGGCCGTGACCTCCAGGCCCAGGGGGAAGTGCAGGTCAATCTTCTTGACGGGGGGGTTGACGAGGTGGAGTTTGAGGATGTCCTTGTCTTCGACGGTGGACGGGGAGGTGTTGAGCTTCCTGTTCGTTCGACCACGGTGCATGGTTAGAGAGAGTGGGGACATGGGTTGCTGGATGGAAGCGTGGCGATGGAGCTCTTACCATCCTGTGCGTTGTGTCTCAATGGGCAGGGTCAATTCGATCTTCTTCTCCTCTGTTCGGATGGTTAGTGTGTGCGGTGAGCAAGGGAGAACCAGAGAAAGATACGGACCGAGTTCCTTGATGTTGTAGACGCCTTCCGCGGTGGAGGAGTGACGTCGGTGCTTGGTGTCCTTGGTGTCCTTGGTGACCTGGACGGGTTTCTCGTCCTTCGCCGTTATCGTCAGACCTGCGACGGCGGAGTCGACCCGGGTGAGTTCTTCCGACATGGTTGATGATGGTATTAGGCTGGAATCACTGGCTGGTGATATGAAGAGTTGTTTGGTTAGTGATGTTGATGGTGATGATGACCGATGGGGACCAACAAGGTGGCTCAGATGGATAGGAATGGACTACGACTCCGAGAGCTTTAAGCTACAGAGGAAAGAGGAAGGAGGGGCAGATGGGATGAAGTCAAGGGAAACCAGGGTCAGGGTCGAAAGCTTACCGAACAGTGAATTGAGTGGAAGTAGCGGGATGAGATAGGATGGGATGGCAGTGAATGAAAGATGAATGGATGAAGAATGAAGTAGGAAGAGAAAAAAAGAAGGAGAATGGAAGAGGCGAGGGGGAAGTCCAGGAACTTTAAGAAGAAGAGGAAGAGGAGGAGGAGGAGGAGATTGAAAGGAGGGTGGGCAGGTGACTGGACTGGTTCAACCACTCCCCAGTTGGCATCCAAGCATGAAACCCCCGGGTTCCATCCATGATGTCGATTGGGAGCATCGACGGGTCATCTACTATGAGTACTGTGGACGTATGCTTGAGTATAATGTACAGGACAGTCTAGTGTACAGTAGGAGGTATGGGTCAGTCTACACATTCTAGGTAAACATAGATCGTGTACTCTACAGACACTACAAAATCAAACATCCATCACAAGAATCAACCCCAACAACTTCAGCTACCGTCACACAATTCCAGGGCAAACCATTGCCTGGATGTCGGATCGTAAGTTGTTGTTGCGAAGTACAGTACATGGTAGTGAGATCACACGAGCAGCTCCTGACGTCGGAAGCGGCCACTAAGAGCTTCCCATTGCACTAAGAGCTGCACCCCGCATTCCCACCGCGGGCGGGTTTTGCTCCACTGACTGATAGTCTAGTCGGATAGTCTGACTGACACTGACACTGACACTGACACCGACACTGACACTGACACCGAGAACAAAGTACTTTTTTCCCACTCGACGTACCACTCAAGTTCTCTGGTTACTTCCACCCACTCCCCGGGTTTCTGATGACACCACCAATCCAGTTTCCAAATTTACCCTGAAACCAGAGATCTGCTCCCACCTGCTCCTCTTTCCACTCTTTCCACCCCACCCCCCCCCATCCATCTTCCGATTGATCATCCTTTCCCCAAAAAATGAATGACTTCATTGTCTAAAGTTGCGTGGTTTTCCATCACCAAAGCCCAATCAATCGACACTGGCTTTCCGTGGTACAGTCCACCCTGGTTTCCGGGCAACACGTGAGCTTAAACGGGGGGGAGGGGGGTAGGTAGTATTACCACCACGACAATGACCACGACCACGCCCACGACCACGCCCACGCCCACGCCCACGCCCACATCCACAAGGGACATTCAGGCAATAATGGGAAAAAATTGAGAGACAGAAGGAAAGTCAGGGATGCATACTTGGTCGGCGACTGGGCCCCTCGATCAATCATGCCTTGGAGTGGTGGCGGTGGTGTGATGTGTGCGCTGATACTCCCCCTGGCCTGCGCTGCTCCGGTACCGTACGTACCTTCTGCAACAAGCTCCGCCCGGGTCTGGAGATTCTCCAGAATGTCAATCCGAGGTCGATCGTATGGTGAGGGAGGTCGGCCATTGGTCTGCAGACTGTCTCAACGTGCAGCCCCGGGCGGGGTTTGTCGCCAGCTGCGAATCACGACCAGCGACGCCTGCGGTTTTACCCCCGACGCTGTCGCCATCCTACTTGACATTGAGGGGGGGAGAGGGGATTCTGGACTCATGGCTGGGTGCCTGTCCCGCATCTCCGTGTAGGTGTACAACGCGTAACGAACGGATGAGTAAAATGGTAGACTTGGAGATGGGGTCGAAGAGTGGTTCTGGTTGTCAGTTGAGATGACTGGATATTTTGTAGCTTGTACTGTACTTTGTATGTACAAGAACTGGTCCTCCCTACCTACAAAGGACCGCACCAGTAACAGCCAGCAACGACAAACAGTATACAGAGATGGACATGGTACTTGGCATGAGAGCAGGGTCTCTGAGACATCAACAGTCGAAACAATCACTCAACCACCATGCGTGCATGAGTTGCTACTGGTAGTTCTCTACGGAGTACGCATCCATTCCACTGCACTCTAGGAAGTGACCCGAAATGGCCATCGCCTGCCGCATCGGGAAAGATGGGCTGAGTCAGCAGCTGGGCCGGGCGGAAGGCGGTGTGACCCGGCAGGATCGAAGATATTCGAGGATTGTCTTGGAGACAATCCGGTCCGACATCGACAAACGAGCCTCGCGACTCCGTCAACAATTCCAGTGCTTCGCTCCCTAGCGCCTACCTCTACAACGAGCTCTGCTCCTGCTCTTAGCTTGCAGAAATCCACGCAAGCAAGTATTGTGAAAGCCAATTCTTTGTCTCCAGTCGCCTGAGAATCCTTACCTCCAGATTCTGCCGTCCGCCAACCCAGTCATCGCGTGTGCTTTTCCTTTTTCGTCTCGCGTATCGGAGCTTTCGCTTTCGCTTTCCATTGCCTCCGGCCAAACCGCCCTTTACCACATAATACTACAAACTTCAGAGCCTTCGTCGTCATGTCGCTTTTCGGGAATGTCGGCGCTTCGTCGTCAGCGGGTGCCTCCAACACCACCGGTGACATCTCCAAGGATGTCGCCCTGAACCAACCTCCGGAAGACAGCATCTCGGACATTCGATTCTCCCCCGCCGCTGAACACCTTGCTGTCGCCTCGTGGGACAAGAAGGTGCGCATTTACGAGATCAATGAACAGGGACAGAGTGAAGGCAAAGCTTTCTTCGAGCACGAGGCCCCTGTATTGAACTGCTGTTGGTCACCGGTACGTGAACTCTCCCCCCCCCCTCCCGGTCCGCGCAATTGCTACCGAACGCCCTGCTTCCTCCGACTCGCGCGACTAACACTTACTGACCCTGCTCTAGGATGGAACGAAAGTCGTCGGCGCCGGCGCGGACAAGGCGGCGCGCATGCTGGACCTGGCGTCGAATGCGACGACTCAAGTGGCGGCGCACGATGCGCCGATCCGCAGCTGCCACATGATCCCCAACCCGCAGGGGAACAGCCCGCTACTGATCACGGGGTCGTGGGACAAGACGATAAAGTACTGGGACATCCGGCAGCAGACCCCGATCGCGACGGTGGAGTGCCAGGACCGCGTCTACACGATGGACGTCAAGAACAAGCTGCTGGTGGTCGGCACGGCGGACCGGTACATCAACATCATCAACCTCGACCAGCCGACCAAGTTCTTCAAGACGATGCAGTCCCCCCTCAAGTGGCAGACGCGGGTAGTCAGCTGCTTCGCCGACTCGACGGGCTTCGCCGTGGGCAGTGTCGAGGGCCGCTGCGCCATCCAGTACGTCGACGAGAAGGACTCGAGCTCCAACTTCAGCTTCAAGTGCCACCGCGAGACCCCGCCCAACCAGCGCGACATCAGCAACATCTACTCGGTCAACGCCATCTCCTTCCACCCCGTCCACGGCACCTTCAGCACCGCCGGCAGCGACGGCACCTTCCACTTCTGGGACAAGGATGCCAAACACCGCCTCAAGGGCTACCCCTCGGTCGGCGGCACCATTTCGACGACCGCCTTCAACCGCCAGGGCACCATCTTCGCCTACGCCGTCAGCTACGACTGGAGCAAGGGCTACTCCGCCAACACCCCACAACTCCCCAACAAGGTCATGTTGCACCCCGTGGCCCAGGAGGAAGTCAAGCCCCGACCCGGTACTCGCAAGCGGTGATCACCTGATCTGTGATAGGGGGGTAAAGTTGGACGCCGGGAGAAAGAACGAAGGCGCGTGGAAGGGAGGGCTCGGTGTGCAACCATGTGTTTTGGACGCATATGTACGGCATCCCGTGTGTCTGGGTCTAGAGATCTCGGAAAGAACAACAAGGTCGACATTGAGCAATCGAACGCACGGATTATCTCGGTCAGGTCTTACTCACCTAACTCTCCCCTTCTCCCCACCCTTTCTCCACATCTTTTGTATGTCTTTTTATCATCATCTTTTCGTGTTCTGGGAATAATGCATCTGAGCGGTTTATTTCAGGTTAGAAATGGTTCACTTCTTGATTTCATAAGATAGAAGGTAGTAGGAACTAGTCTGAGAGTCATTGCACAAGGTGTTTAGTCTGCAAAGGTCATACATATGGCTGCGGATGGGATTCTTGATCTTCTGGACGAGGACTTGATATCGATGTCTCTACCATGATGGATAATTGGAAAACACTGAGAGACCCATGTGAAATGCATCGACGATGGTTGAATCAAGCAGCACGCCTGGATGGCAGAACCCGAAAACTACATGGGCCGGAACACCGCAGGCCACACGCACACACCCTTGCTCGCCCCTGCCCTACCCCCTAACCATGACGGAAAACCCCGAAGAACTATCCAGGAATTTGAAAGCATCACGACGATAGCAAAAGAAACTTAAAAGAAAAATCTGGAATCAATCTGCATCATATCTCGTATCGAATCTGCGCATATGTATATGGAACAGGTAAAAAATAAAACATAGGAAAAATATAAGGCTTCTAATCCAACCACACCCACGAACAAGACCCAAGTCGCTCTAAAAGACTTGCAAGAAGAGAGACAATAAAACTTTCTTTCCCCGGGAAAACCAGCAGCAATTCTTGAATGCTCTTTGAGGGTTGATTCGGAAGGAAGGGGAGTCTAAGAGGTGGGAAGCGTCACCTGGGCGACACCGTCGGTGACCTTGTCGACGGCCTCGGTGGAGGAGGACGAGGCATCGGATTTCTCGACACCACCTTTCGCGGAGGCCTCGACGGGTTGGCCGCCGGCAGCGGCAGCAGCAGCGGCGGCGGCGGCAGCCTCCTTGGCCTTCTTCTCCTTCTTCTTGGCCTTGGCGGCGGCGTTGGCGGCTTTCTTCGCGGCGATCTTGGCGGCTTCTTCCTCCTTCTTCTGGCGGTCGGCCTGGGAGCCGCCGAAGAGGTCGCGCCACTCGTCGGCCTTCTTGGGGTCGATGCGCGAGAACAGGTACTGGGCCTTGCCGATCTTGTGGCCGGGCTTGACGGCGTCGGGCTTCCAGCCGTCCTTGAGGTCGTCGAGGGCGGGGATCAGGCTGAAGGGGACGGCGAGCTGCTCGTTGATCGCCTTGGAGGTGGCGGGGAGGTAGGGGGCGAAGACGCTGGCGAGCAGGTGGATGAGGTTGAGCACGGTGCCGACGACGGCGGCGGCGCGCTCGGGCTCGTTGGCGATGAGCGAGTTGTCCAGGCGGTTGGCCTGGATCAGGCCGTTGCCGATCTCGGCCAGCTTCATGGCGCTGACGACACCGGCGCGCAGGTGGGCGCCCTCCATCTCCTCGACGTACTGGCGCAGGGTGGCGGTCACCTCGTCCAGGGTGGGCTGGAAGGCCTCCGGCACGGTGAACTCGGGCACCACCGACCCGTACGAGGCGATCACCAGCTTGATCACCCGGTTGACCAGGTTGCCCAGCTTGGCCAGCAGCTCGCTGTTGTTGCTGTCCACGAAGGAGCGCCACTCGAACTGCGTGTCGCCCGTCTCGGGCCGGTTCTTGAGCAGGTAGTACCGCCACACGTCCGGGGGCACGCCCGTCTGCTTGGCGTTGTTGCCGAACACCCCGATGCCGCGCGACTTGCTGAACTTGCCGCCCTCGTAGTTCAGGTACTCGGTCGTGCTGAGGTGGTGCAGCTTCGTCCACTTGTCGCCCGTGCCCATCTGGCAGCCGGGGAAGATGACGCTGTGGAACGGCACGTTGTCCTTGCCCAGGAACTGGTAGAGCTGCACCTCCTCCGGGTTGCGCCACCAGAGCTCCCAGTCCGGCGTGTAGTTGGCCGTGATGGACGGGTAGCCGATGCACGCCTCGAACCAGACGTAGAGCACCTTGTTCTCGAAGCCCTCCAGCGGCACGGGCACCCCCCACTTCAGGTCACGGGTGATCCCGCGGTCCTTCAGGCCCTCCTTCAGCCAGGACTCGGTGATGACGCGGGAGTTCTTGGGCCAGTCGCCCTTCTCGATGGCCTTGGCGGACCATTCCTCGATCTGCGGCTGGAGCTTGTCCAGCAGGAGGTGGATGTGTTTGGTCTCGCGGCGGACGGGGGTGGCGCCGTCCAGCTTGCAGCGGGGGTTGATGAGGTCGAAGGGGTCGAGGAGGTGGCCACACTTGTCGCACTGGTCACCCCGGGCGTCGTCGTAGTGGCAGCGAGGGCACTCGCCCTCGACGTAGCGATCGGCCAGGAAGGAGTTGTGCGTCTCACAGAACGGCTGCTCGGCGGTCTTCTCGGTCAGGTAGCCGTTGTCGTAGAGTCGCTTGAAGATGGCCTGGGAGATCTCGGTGTGCTGTTTCGTCGGGGTGCGGCCGAAGTGGTCGAAGCCAATCTCGAACCACTCGTATACTTCTTGGTGGATCTTGTTGTACTTGGCACACAGCTCCTCCGGAGTCACCTTCTCCTCCAACGCCTTGGTCTCCGTCGCAGTTCCGTACTCATCGGTACCGCAGATGTAGAGAGTCTGGTGTCCGGCGGCCTTGTGGTATCTAATTGACTGTCAGGTTAGATTGAAAGATCAGGCAACCGATGAGTGGGGGAGAAGGAGGAGGAGGATGAAGGGCAAGACGGACCTGGCGAAAACATCGGCGCTGAGCACGGAACCAACAATGTTACCCAAGTGGGGGACGTTGTTCACGTAGGGCAGGGCACTGGTCACCAGAATATTGCGCTGGCCCTTCTTAGGAAGGATTTTGGAATTGTCGGACGCCATTTTTGTGGAAGGGCGAGAAGGAGGGGAGAAGAAGAGGAGGAAGAGGAGCGGAGGTGAAGATATTGGCGGGGTAAAGTAAAAGTTGCACGGTTTGTGTCGCTGCGCCGCTGCCGGAGGATGATTCATCGCCTCTTCCGATCTTTCGTTTCTCCGCAGCGCTTGCTTTGCTTATCGACCTCTCTATCTACCTCTCTATCTACCGACTCGCTATCGCGCTCTTCGCTCTATTCCGAATTCTTCTTTCCCTGGACTGCTCTCCGTGTCAATCAGTCTTTCTGGTTTGACTTCCTGTGTTGTGTTCTCTTTATCTACGTTCTACCTGGTTCAGTCGTCTTTGCCCACGCCCTCCGGCTCTCACCCCCACCCCCCACCAGGAAACCAGGAACAAGAGGGGAAAATTCAATCCGCCAATGGACGGTAATCTGCTGGAGAGTCTCCTCGACCTGGAGGAAGAGTTCTACCAAGAGGGCTTCAACCTGGGCTCTGCGGACGGCGCCTTGGCTGGCTACACCGAAGGAAGTGTCTTCGCCGTCGAGAAAGGATTCGAAAAGTTCGTCGAGATCGGAAGACTGTACGGGAAGGCCTTGGTTTGGGCGCAGCGAGTTGCAGACTCCGACCCGTCGGTCTCTGCCAAAGCCGTGTCGGAGTCGCAAACGGAGAATGGGACGAGTGACAAGCCGAGCGAAGGATTGCTGGACCCATCTCTTTGCAAGGAGATGCCAAACCTGGTGACGAGCTCCAGACTGGCCAAGAATCTCGACACTCTGCTCGAATTAGTCGACCCGGCTTCTCTGCCGATGATGAACGATGAGGAGGCCGTCAACGACGTGGACGAACGCTACAAGGGCGCGGTCATGAAAGCCAAGCTCATCCAGCGTTCGCTGGGCGAAAAGGAAGACAATTCGGATATCCATCCGGACGCAAAGGAGACGTCGACTGCATCTGCAGGTGACGGAACAGGCAGCATCGAAGACATCAGCTCATTAAGTATTCGCCATTGAGGACCCTCGTTGCTGCCAGTCCGCAATTCCCGTCCGACGCATTGCTCTGCAAGGGATGTCGCGGGTTTGCCTTGGCAACGGATCGGTTGCTTTTCCAGATCGGAGTTACTCCGAATCGTTTGCTCGATCTGCCAAGTTGCAACCAAAGCCCCCTCAAGCTAAGATCCTTGATAGTCCATGACCTTACTGTGTTGTGGTTAGCTTGGGTGAATAGCTTCAGATACTCGGGCGAACCGCGAGGCCCGATCGCTCGCCACGCATCCCCGCAGCCGAGGTTTTCCCCCGCCAAGTCGGTTTCTCACCCACATTTGGCCCTTCTTCACCCCCACGGAATTCTCTCGGATACTGAGAAGTTGGCTCACCGGTGTCGGTGTGTTGATCCCAGGCACCATTCCCTTTTTTGGGGCCACCCTCTCCGTTTGGGGATGCATGGTCCTCATCTATAAATACCAGCCTTGGCCTGCTCAATTCTATCACTCCAATGCCATGAAATTGGATGTTCGGTCTTCCACCGTATAGCTGGGACTACCACTTTTGTTGTCTAGACCGGTAGTCATCATGCAGTCAATTTTTCTATCTTTAGTCTTTCTTGCCCCCGGACTGGCTCGTGCTCAAACGGGAGTCACACAGCCCATCTCAGAGGACTGCGGCCCCTCCGTGGTATGCATTAATCGCTATGGCAATGTCCTACCGTGAGTGACTTATGGCACATAGTCCCTGTGTAGATAGTCCATCTGATGCATAATTAGCTACCACTTTTTCCGCAATCTAACCACAATGGATGCACCCACCACATTTGGTGACACCACGGTAGCCAACGGGACCAAGCTGAACGACATAAAGTCGGCCGATTTCATTGTGTACAACAAGGAGAAAGGTCTCGAGGCTTTAGGGCCCAACCCCAGTTACGAGTATGTCTTTGCGGTGAATGAGGCCGTGCACGAGGCCCCCGTCTATGTAGCGGCACAGAACAAGCTGTATTTGTCGCAGCTGGCTCCTCCCACTGGCTATCTCCCACAGCTGGTGGTCGACCTAAACCAGGATCCCCCAACATTATCCGAGTTTCTGTCTGATCCACCCGTATACGCACCCAATGGTGGTACCTTCCACGATGGTAAGATCATCTGGGGTGCCTCTGGTGGCAACAACTCCATTGGAGGTTCCGAGCAGCGCGTGGGATTGCGAACCCTGGATCCCGAGACCAATAAGACCGTCAGCTTGGTCAACAACTACTTTGGCTACTACTTCAACACGGTTGATGATCTTGCCGTTCATCCCAAGACGGGAGATATATGGTTTACCGATCCTCGTGAGTGCACATTACATCCTTCCTCGCACATCTGCTAACGGTCTCCAGAATACTCTTGGTTCAATGCCCTAACCGATACACCTCCTCAGCTACCCGCTGCCAGCTATCGTTATAACACTTCGTCCGGCGCAGTTGTCGTCGTCGACGACAGCATAGGACAGCCGAATGGCATCGCTTTCACCCCTGACGGTTCAATCGTCTATATCAGCGACACAGCTGCTGTCAGCGCCCCGGTTGACCCGAAGTACGGCCATCCCGGCAGTACCTTCAACACTACTCACCGGAGGTAACTAATCTCGAGACTCTGTCTATTACTTGCATTGACTCAAGATAACTGACATCATCCACCAGAACCATCTATGCCTTTGACGTGAGTCAAGATGGAGCTCACGCCTATAACAAGCGGCCCATCTACCTCGCACCTGGCTTTGTCCCCGATGGATTGAAAGTGGCCGCAAATGGCTACATCGTTACCGGCTGTGGTTACGGGGTGGACGTCATAGACCCATCTGGAGAATTGCTGTTCACTATTCAGACGAATTACACGGTTCAGAATTTTGCCTGGACCGGCCCGGAGCTGAAGACGCTGTGGCTGATGGGGAATGGAGGAATCAGCAAGGTGGAATGGGAGCTTGCAGGGCAGGAGCTGAAATAAGTCGGGCTACAGGAAGATTTGCATGAACATTAATTGCATGGCTATTCTTATGATTGACGTCTAGATTGCATGTGCGTCGGAAGACTGGCAAGCACTGCTTCTCTTGTATCTCAAAGCGTGAATACATTACATACCTAGTTCAAAGGCTCGAGTCATCAGCATGGCCTTGCAGAACTCCAATCTGTTTTCTCGATTACAGGGAGATCACCTGCAGTCGAATCTAGTGAAAGAAAGACGAGCAGGTTATCATGGGCCTGTCACGTGGTGTCAAGTTTCTCTCCTCTTGTGTCTTCATTGATGATCCTTCGTCAGCATGCTATAGAAGGAACTGGCATACATCGTTCCATAAACTCCTGCGACAGATGAAACGCCGACTAGACAGATCCATGCAACGGAACACATCTGAAAGATATATGATAAACATCGGCTGCTTTCCCACCCATTGCCGACAGGAGCCACTGCGATATCAGCTTATCGACGCCGAAGCCGACGCCGACAACTCGACTGACACATCGGCATCGGCATCGGCATCGACATCGACATCAACTCCCAGCCCCTTGATCACAAACCAGATCACGGTCAGCTCTGCCTGTCTCAGTCGAGACTCTATGACTCACTTCTGCTCGCTTGTCCTTTCGCCATCGCGGAGGTCTGTCGCCGAGAAGCTGTCAATGCACGCACTTCGTCAGCCTGGCTTTCCCTTCCTCAAGTATCCATTTTATCATTCGAACTCACCGACCGCTTGCCCCTGTGCATGTCCTGAGGCGTTGAGCTGTTAGGTTTCCGCGTTGAGACCCAGATCAGTTGATACACCCTTGGTAACAGGATCACTGTCAGATTCTTCTCTTTGGTGTTCATTGTTCTTCTGTCTTTCTCTTGACTCACCACCTGTCGTCTTTCAAGATTGGCGCCCTGGTCCGCGGGAAGAGCGGCTGCGAGCACGCAGAGAAGTGCCAGCAGAAGGGCTGGCTGCATGATCTTGGCGAATGCAAGCATTATTGTTGTGGTAGGCTGCGGAAGAGAGGAGAGAGGAAGATGAAGCCGAAGCGATGATTAAACGGATGGAATGGTCTGAACAATGGGGAATCGACGATTCACTTGGAACCATTTACAGTTTATTTATACGCGCGATCCCCAATGCCCTATTTTGCAATCGTCCTAGTCTGTTCATCTGTATTCCCTACTTTGGAGGGGACTCGACAAGCACCTGCTCAATCATCGAAATCATACTTTTATTCACGCGTTCCACGTCACCTTCCCATGCCTTGCATAAGACACACAACCACAGTCGACCGTATATCAGAACCAAGCGACAGGATTGGTTGGACCCCTTTGCCGAAGAGCACCCAAGAAACGAGGCCTCTTTCTGGCTGAACTATGCGGCAATGTTCTGCAGACCGTGTCTCAGTAGTCTTTTCTGCAGGGAACGGTTTTGCAGATACGAGCTCTGATCGAGGTAGGAATTGGTCGACTATCAATCGTTAATTCTTCTCGCGTGCAGCACCAAACTCAATTAAGTTGGCGGTGGCTGTATTTCGGGGAATTTCTCAAGGATCGTCATCCAACCAGAGCTGAGACACCATCCATGCTAGCAGCACACGGGCTGCTTCTCATAATTGTGGTCTGTGGAGATCAATTTGTATAGATGCAAGGGCCATCGCTGATGCTTTTTAATTCTCTATCCTGGGAGCCAATTCTGCAGGCGGACCGCATCCGGTGTAGGGGATTTCGGTGACTATGAGACTAGTCAATGAATGGCCTTGTGAGAGACGTCCATACTGGCGTATGGATGCGGCAGAATAGGCCTGTGAGGGACAGTAATTCTGATGGGGATGCCCGCCCTAGCATCTGCCTCTACTTCATGATACCTGCTGTCTACGTTGATCCGAACTCCTGTCTCGCGCTTGACTGACCGAACCTCCGTCAGCATGGTAGCCTCAACTGCCTGGTCAGTCTTCCAAATTCCACTGGGCATCTGTTTGTTCTTATTTATGCTCGAACAAATCAGATGCCGACCGTGGAGCTCTGCCCTCCCAGACCACTCGAGCCAGCCAGCAGTGGATCAAGAACAGGAGGAGAGACACAAACTTCCCGACTTCATCCAGTCATGGGAGACCTATAAGAACTACACCAGCCGCCACAGAACTTTTACCGGCCACGCGGACCGTCAAGCGACCATCGACATCCTTCAATCCCGCGTCCCGGCGTCCCGAGTTCAGGAAGACGACGACCCGGACCAAACCACGATTTTCACCGACAGATACCGACTCGAGATCGATCAACGAGGAATCCTCGGCCACGGGGCCAGCGGCTACGTCTATCCCGGCATCTTGTCCCATCTGAGGCTCAACGAAGCCCAGGATGTCGCCGTGAAGGTCTCGCATCACCCCCATGTGCTGTGGGAGGCTCAGCTAATGGATCTCATTCACGGCGATCACCTGCTCCATTACGTGGAGACGGTGACCATTCCCCAACCAGAAGATGACAGGGCCGCAAATGGACTGGTCTATGCAATGGTCATGCCGCGCATGCAGGGGACTCTACATTCGTGGGCGGCCAGGTCGCCGTCGGGCGAGGAGCCAGAGCAGCGGACTCGTTCCGCTATGCTACAAATGTGGGAAGGGCTAGTCCAGCTCCATGCACAGGGCTTCGCGCATCGGGACGTGAAGCTCGCGAACATGGTGTATAGATGGAACGAGACGGGGGACATGCACATACTCCTCTCGGATCTGGATCGCGCTACCCCTGCCCGAGAGGTGGGAGGCAGTGCGGGGACTTTGGGGTATCTATCTCAAGGTAGGTCTTTAACGTAAGGGATCGGAAGCTCTCCTGACGCACGAGCAGAGATCCTACTCGACCAAAAACACGACCCCATGAGCTCGGATGTCTTTGCCATGGCGATGTCGTTCCTGGGGTTGGTCTCCAGCAAAATGTCGGCTGATCGGGACTTTCGCATGCTGGTGTGGAAGAGTGTGGTTGATGCTGCGACACAGTCGCGCGTCGAAGCCACTCTACTTGAGTTGTTTGGCAGCAGCTTGTCCGCGAGGCAGGCGGGACTGTTGGCGAAAGCGCTGTGCGAGCAAGAGGGGGAGGATGCGGGCAGCTGGATGCGGCGCATCACGGCTAGGGAGTTTCTTGGTGAGTTGCGAGGGATGATGGATAGTGGGTTGTGGTGACCTGCAAGGCAGCCGATAACAAATATGGTTTCCTTTGCTCTCTGGTCATCCCCAAATAATGGACCAAAGTCATCTTTGTCTTGGAAGCTAAAATGTTTATTAAGCTCCTTGTACTGATTCCCTGCCCAATTGGATACCAGTGGACTCTCTAGCCTCAGTATAGAGAGTTGAAGGTGCGAAGAAGGTCCCCTTTTCATACTAACACGTCAGCACTGGCAGTAGGTATACCGTATATGTAGATAGATATACATGTCCATATTTGAAGACATATTTGCAGAGACTTGATTCTGCCGCAGCCCTCCGGTTTTTCTTCTTCTCGCTTGCTTGCTTGCAGAAGTACTAAATGTAGTAACTTCGGTAACTTCCCGTCCTGGCCCCGGCTCGGCTTCTTGTCTTCCACATCTCTTTCTCTCCATCGGTGGTAGAAGTCATTCTGGCGCCAAATACACCATCCTTGGTTTACTTCTAGAACACACATGCTGGGTTTACCTTCAACTATCGCCGCTGGAGGATTTTAGTACTCCTGCACACGGAAAAACAAGCAGCCGACTGCTAAGGCACAGCCTTGTGGACGTGGACTAAATTACCCCGCTCCAACCATGGCTGACATACACACACCCCTTGGCGATTCAGTGCCCATTGCTGGCATCGGCATTCAGTATGGACCCCCTAAGCGCCTTCTCGCTCGCGTGTAACATTCTTCAAGTCATCGAACTGGGTCAGAAAACCCTGACCCTTACCCTAAATTACCGCAAAGCCAGCACGGGCGAAACACGCGAGCACGAGGATCTGCAAGGAGTGCTGCAATGCCTGATCAGCTTGAATGTCGACCTGCACGCCTCGATCCCGACCTCCACTGAGCCAGGCAGTCTCACCCCGGCGCTGGCTCGGCTGAAACAGGCCAACGAAGAGTGTCTTCGTCTGTCGATCGAGTTTGTAGACTTGTTGAACAAGCTGAAGCTCCGCACCCCCCATGCATTGCTGGAGTCCATCCGGGCCAGCATCAAGACGTTATGGAACCGCGATCGCATGGAAGCTATGTCTAAGGCTGTTGGTCGAGCGCGGGAGAATCTCAACACCGCACTGCTCTTCTACCTCAAGTATGTCCCTGGCCAACGCTTGACTGGACTGTCACTAAGCGCGTGGTAGAGATACCCAAGCCACCGTGGCGGGCCAGGATCAGATCCTCCAATCTACGGCTCAGCTAGAGGACAACGTCTTATCTGCACTGGAGGAACGTTGTGCACTGATCCGAGCCGACGTACGCCAGGTTCTGGAGCAGGTGCAGGCACCCGGCGTGAACCACGCGGCAGAAACTCAGCTTCTGGTCTCGCATCGGCACCAGCTCGACTACCTTCAACGTCAGATCCAGGGCATTCTCGACCGACAAGAACATCTGAGCAACCTGGATGAGCAAAGAAGACTAGCGGAAAACCACCAAATGTTCTTGGCTAGCATTCAATTCCCGCAAATGCAGGAACGTGCTCAACAGATTCGCGCTGCACACGAAAAGACCTACCGATGGGTCCTGCAACCACACAACCCGCGTTCGGTGGTGGCTTGGCTATCTGCTCCCACGGACAGCGAACCTATTTACTGGATCTCCGGTAAACCGGGTGCGGGAAAGTCGACCTTGATGCGCTACCTGGACCAAAATTTGAATTATGAGGAGCATATGCTTCCCTGGGCAAGTGGGGTTACCGTTATCCGAGCTTCATATTACTTCTGGAACGCAGGGAATGCGCTACAGAAGTCTTTCGAAGGACTCGTGCGCTCCTTGCTTGCCCAGATACTCGAACAGCAGCCTGAGCTCATAGCCCGCATCACGACACTCGGACCAAAGTACAATCCCCGGACTTGGGGTTCGAGTAATGTGGAATGGACCCAGTCTGAGCTACTGAGTCTACTTCATATGTGCATTGGCGCACTGCAAGATCGCTACAAAGTGCTCCTTCTTATCGATGGCCTAGATGAATATGAAGGCACCGACGAGTTACGGCGGGACGTGATCCGAAGTTTGTTTGGGCTGAACGGAATGGCAAACATGAAGATATGTCTGTCAAGCCGGCCATGGAACGTATTCCGAGATGCCTTCAGCAGCACACCGCAACTACGATTAGAGGACCTTACTTATCAGGATATCAGCACATATATCAGGACCGAGCTTACCAAATCCCCCCGCTTTCGATATCTTCACCTTCGCCAGAAAGCTGAGGCAGACAGACTAATCTTAGCGATGACTGAAAAGGCCGCTGGGGTTTTCTTATGGGTGCGGCTCGTGGTCCGCGACCTACTCGAAGCTCTCCAGGATGGCGATAATATGGCTGCCCTATCGCGAAAGCTCAACGGCATCCCCGCTGACCTGGATGAATACTTCCGTAGGATGATTGATTCGATTCCTTCCCTGCACAGACGAGAAGCGTCAAAAATGATTCAAATCGCATTGCATGAGGAGACCGCGTTCACCGCACTCCACCCGCTGCGGATGCTTGATCTCTTGTTCATTGACGAGCCTGTCCTTGACTTTGCAGACACAGGACCGTCGAACTGTCCCATTCTAGATCTAGCTGATCGTGAAGGTCTTGCATTTATGTTAGACTCTACGTACCGTAGGCTCAGCAGTCGGTGTATGGGACTGCTGGAGTGCGTATTTGATTTGGAGTTTTCTGGTTTTCTTGACCTTACCACTCCGGATTTCCTGGAGGCCTACGATGGGCGTCAATTCAGTTCTGCGCTGTGTACACAGATTGCGGAGTCGGCAGAGATAGGACACACCTTCATGCTAACTATCAGCTTCTTACATCGCAGCTGCCGGGACTTCCTTCGATCTCCTGAGATTCAGGAGTTACTGCATCAATACACCGGCGGGCCGTTTGACGCAAGGCGGTACCTGGTCAACGCCAGAATCTGTCAACTTCAAACCTTGATGGTTGCTGGAATCAACCTTGAATTGAGTTTTGGCATCGCAAGTTATCTGGCGAGCGCGCTAGCAGTGCCCGGATGGAGGGAGTCCACCCCAGCCATCAGAGCAGCCCGAGTCCTGGACCCAGTCATTGACGTTCTCCTATCAGCGAGCGACCACAACAGCAGCATGGATGTCGGCTGGTACATAGGCAAACTGGCAGGCAGATGGGCGGATGAACGGAGCTGTTTCCTGACTCTCGCTATCGACTTTGACTTGCGAGGCTATGTCAGGGCATGTCTCGGTCCAGCGCAAGTCCGCAACAAGGCAGGCCGCCCGATCCTGGACCATGTTCTCCAGCCAGAATTCTGCCGGCGTCGTGGCTCCCTGGGTATCGGATACTCATTGGTCAGCCCCGAACTCGTGCGCCTTGTGCTCGAAAACGGAGGCGACCCCAATGAATCTTACCGAGGAGGGACCATTTGGGCACGATTCCTCGCGTGGACGGCAGGTTGCTTAGTTGATTATCTCACCGTTGACGCCGAATTTGTCCAAGCCCACGTCGAGTCTATCGCGCTGCTGCTACAGCACGGTGCGACACTCGTGGTTCCCCATTCCTGGCTTGCAAGCGGCAGTTCCGGCTGGGCCAAGGTCATGACCCACCCGGACTCAGGCCTGCAGGAAGGCGATCGATTCCGTCGCCAGACATCACCCGTCTCAGCCTCCCCTCACACGGCTTCTGTCGTGGACCAGCCATGTTATGCCGTCACTGATCTCCTGCAAGCGTTCCGCCCATGGTTCGGAGGAGAGATCGACCGGTTGATTGCTCTCGCGCAACGCTCTGCAACCGTTTCTGCCTTGGGGCAGGGCATCACGACCCTTCCTCTTCGCCCTAGGACCGAGTATATCCGACCGGGAGTCGAATCTGCGTAGTATGCTGGTCGGCAAATAGAGATGTGGTGTCACCCGCACCAAGTCTGTTCGCAGGAGGTTTTGGAATAACTTCATATCTGTATAGCTACAATACTGTGGAACAGTTGAACCTTCACTGCAAAAGTGCGCAGGATAACTCCCATGGCCTCGAGCATGATCAACACAATTGAACGAGGATGCGAATGCACTCGCGGGAGGTACGGAGATCCGTAAGCCGAGTATGAGTATAGATGAATGAGGTCAGGACAGGTGAAGATGAAGACAGCAAAAGGGCTATTGCTTGGTAGGGTAGGTTAAGTTAAAGGAACATATAACAAAACGCTCAATTCTACCAACAAGAACTAATGTCTATACTGCCTCATAGCGAAGCTAGGGAAACCCCAGGCTCTGCCTCTTGGGCAATTCTAGTGCAACCTATCATCCCCGAAACACAAAGTCGAGGATCCCGAACGGCGATCCGGCAGGAAGATGAACCTCCCGCAAGTCAAAGCGACCATCGGCCTGCTTGACCACCTCCGTCCAGTCGTGGATGGTCCGCTCTTTCGAGTTACACGCCACATGCATCTGCAGATCCATGGCCGCGACCGATTTCCTGATCGGCAATGGAATCGCCAGCTTGTTCTGGGCCTCGTCATACTCCGCCGGCACCACGAAATCAAAGACGAGCAAATGATTTCCTGGCTTCAGCACTCCCAGCAGGTTCCGCACAATCTGCCGCACATACTTGTCGGACCAGTCATGCAGGACCGACTTGAGCAGGAAGACATCCGCAGGACAACTCTGCGCTTCAAAGAAGTTATGAGTCTGGAACGTGATGCGGGATGCATACGGCGTGGCGTTGATATTCGCCTCGAAGGCCGACTGGGCCGCGGCGAGATCCTGGACGATCAGGTTAAGCTTGGGATAGTGTTCGGCGAGAATGACGCTGATATGCCCGGCGGAACCTCCGAGCTATGCTGCGTTAGCACCGTGTTGCACCCCCCATGGACCAACTACCGCGAATAGTTCCAAAGCAGCAGCGAGAACTTACATCCACAACAGTAGCCCCATCCCCCAATCCACCCCAATCAAACCGCCTCAACACCCCCTCCGTCATCACCCCACTTGTCTCTCGCAAACCCTGCATCGCCTCCGCAAACCGCTTCGCCCGAAACCCCCTCGGCTGATCCGGCAGCCGCTCGAAATTCTCCAAGAACTCCCAAAGATCCGTGCCCCGCTGCCGGCCATCATGATCCGTCGCCAGCGGGATCGCGCAGGTTGTGACCTCTTCGGGTAGCGCCTCCCCATGCCGCCCCACAAACCACGTCTTCAACGCCTCCACCCCCACCGTCGCGGCGGGCCGCACATCCTCCAGATTATGGGCGAGAAAGGCCTGCGCGTACGGAAAACGCACCATGTGCGCAGACGCGGCGGTGTGCACGACCCGCTCGTTGCCTGGGGCCCCTTCCTCGGCGAAGACGAAGATGGTGAAGGCGAGCCGGAGGAAGCGGCGCACGATCGGTTCGGGGAGGTCGGTGGCGCGGGCGATGTCGGCGTAGCTGGCGGAGCCGTGGAGGGGGACTGCGTCCCAGAGGTTGAAGGTGTTGAAGACGTCGAAGGTGAGGAGGGCGTGGTTGGGCTTGCTTTGGGGTTAGGATCGAGATTCCGGTGGACAGAGGGGAGGGGAGGGGAGAACTTACAAACATGCTCTGTTGGAACCAGAAGTCGCTGGGTCCTGTCACTAAATGGTGCAGGGTTTCAAGAGTCTCTAGGAGCTTCAGGCGAGCGTTCTGGATCTTTGGGTCGGGGGGCATGGAGGCTGGCGCATTTACTGCCATGGAAGGCTGCGGTTGCCCCGCGGCGTTGAGCTGGCCGGCGAGCGAGTGGGTGAGGTCGGCGATGGTCGCGCCCAGGCTCTCGAGGCTGGGTTGTGTTGAGCCCATGGTTTATCTGCGGTTGATTGAGAATCAGTGAAGATTGGGGTTGGAGATGCTTGTCTGGATTCGAGGATCTTGGAAAAGAAGAGACCTCCCTTATATAGTCATTTCGCAAAACACGCTCCGAGGCAGCTTGACCCGCTACGGGATAACGATCGACCATGGCATTAGAAACAATCATCCTCTCAGCTATGACTGTAAAGTCCAAGTCCTCCGTGTGATATCACCAGTTGGGTAACCAATTCGCGGCAGCGGAGGCTTGATTCCTCGCAGAGCCTCTTTGCTTGTCCCGTGCTATGGATCTGTACACGAGTACACGAGGTAAGCGACACTTAGCGCTCCAATCGCTGCGGCTTAGTCCGCCGCCAGTCCACCGGGCACAGGCCCACGCGGCTGACGCAGGTCCGTGCGGCCAGCAGCACTCCTCAGTCTATTGTGAGAGTGATAACTGATTATGTAGATCAGCTGCAGCTTCAAGGTTACTGCATTCGGTATCCACCTCGGTGGGCCAGTCCCAACTAGTGATTCTAGCCCTAAAGCCCCAATGCTCACGGCAGCATGGGGCTCAGTGGTTGAACTGGCCGCTCCATGATTCAGTAGACTCAACTCTCAATTTACTACTACGAGCACCCTCTGGAGCATGACTATACATGTGCTACTGAGTAGGTATCATGGATTCATTTAGACGTGCCTACCTTAGTGTAGGTACATCATGGATACACCCCGCCCCTCCGCCATTCGGCTAAGCGCGCTTCACGTGACTACGGCTTTGAGAAGCCAATCAGGTCGCGTGAAAGAAAGCCGATATGTACACAGTATGTAATGTACTGTACAGCTGGGTAATCAGCAGGCATGCTCAGGCCCTCATAAGTATAAGGGCTAAGGGGTGAAACAGCGTGATGAACGAATAGCTCTCGCGAAGCCAAGGATGTCAGTATATTGCCTTAAGGTGTTGTTGCTGGTTTGCCTAACTCGCGAGGCAGCCGCCGCCCTTTGGGGTGGCCGCGGCCGGCTCGCTTAGCCGTCACGTGACTGCTGCCTTAGGTTGTCTATATACATTTCCCTTCGCGGATATCCGCGAAGGTTGGAAGGGCTGTTTGGGCCCTTACAATAAGCACCTACTACTACCTTAGGTACTACAGGTAGTATTCTCAGCTTAGAGCCCGAGTTGGAAAGATACTTGGTGCTTTGCAAAAATAGATAAATAAATAAAATAGATAGATAAATGAAATAAAATAAGATAGAGATAAAAATAGAAAGAAAAAAAGAAAAAGAATAAAAATGAAAAGAGAAATTTGAAAAAAAAAAAAAAAAAAAAAAAAAAAAAAAAAAAAAAAAAGAAAGAGAAAGAAACAGAGAAATGAGAAGAGAAATGAAGAGAAAAATAAAAAGAAAAATAAACACAAACTAAAAGATCAAAAC